TCCTTTCCTTTTCCTCATCCAGCTCCCTTTCATGCACCTCCTCCCTATTGTGAGAAGAAGTGATGGTGTGGCGCCCAGTCCCAGCTGTTCTGTCTACAAAACAGCTTCCGAACCTAATGCTCAGGGAACATTGCAGAAGAGGAGGCAGAAAGACTGTAAGAGCCAGAGGAATAGGATGTCTACTGTGAGATTGCATCTCCTGGAAGTGCCATGGAGGCTATAGTCACAAAGTCTCAGCAGCATGGCTGCCTAAACAAGACCTACCTGAACCAGGACAATACCAGCGAACATGCTAACACGGAATGGGAAAAGCCCACAAGGGCTCCAACCCTGGACGCAAAACTACAGGCAACAGGAACACGGAGAGTGGGAGAAAACTGTTTTCCCCAGTAAAGAACCCTCCAATTAGTTATCCAACACCATGTGGTCAACCCTGAAATCATATGCACACATTTAGCTACACATCACAAGCAGCTGATACGCTTAACTACAATCCTCCACTACCCTCTGAAAAGCTACAAGCAGTTTCAAAAGGCTATTTCAAGGTGTTAGATATGGACTAACTGTTTGTAGGGTTACCTTCATATCCTAACACCAGAATTCATGCTATATTCTCATATTTGAACTATGATCACTTTTGACATGGCAGATTGTTCAGCGGTGTATCTCTCCATTCTGTCTTCACTCCCCAAACCATTCTAAGGTGAGCCTGCTCACACACACGCCCTAAGCGAATGTTTTGCATCCTAAAGGCTTTTTTCCTCTCGTCCGTCATTTCTGAGACTCTCACACTGCCCCTGGGGACTGTCTGACTTGGTCAACATTCTCTTGTCACATTCAGTCTCTTGTTGCCATCTGTACGTGTGTCTCTTCTGCTGGTTCTCAGGGTCATCCCTGAGCCCAGGCATCAATCATCTAAATATGTGGAGTCCCTGGTGGGCTCTTGACTGTCAGCTCATACATCTTCCTCCTCAGCAGCACCAACAACCCTCGATGTTAGTCAGGACTCGGGACACTCCAGGAATAGCCTCCATTGGGAAGCAACAGAGACTAGGAGGGGACTGTCATGGAGCAGCACATCTCTCACTGCCTGGGCCAAGAAGCACAAAATAGGGTGTGGAGGGAAAAGTCACTTGGGCCCAGTGTGCTTGGTACTTATGGAGAAACAGAGGACAGCGGCTCAAGACCTGGGCTTCAGAGCAGAGCTGTAGTGTGGGGCGCCAACACTGCATGTTACCAAATATGATCCTTGGGTAGGCAACGTGACCTCTGACTCTGTTCCCTTCACATGGAGGTAAGGGAGCTCTGAAGTGACGAAGCTTACTTAGTAGTTGACAAGGATGTATGGCTCACAAGTGTATGCTGTAGACAGGAGAACACCAAGAAGTCAACCCTCTTTTTTTTTTTTTTCCTTTGGTTTTTTGAGACAGGGTTTCTCTGTGCAGCTTTATGCCTGTCCTGGAACTCACTCTGTAGACCAGGCTGGCCTCGAACTCACAGAGATCCGCCTGGCTCTGCCTCCTGAGCAACCCTCACTTTTATTGATTGCAAAACTGAGGCAGAGAAAAAGGAATACCTTACATGCACATGACAGACTTTCCATATGACTTGCCCCAGGATTTTTTTTTTTTTTTTTTTTTTTTTTTTTTTGGTTTTTCGAGACAGGGTTTCTCTGTGTAGCTTTGCGCCTTTCCTGGAACTCACTTGGTAGCCCAGGCTGGCCTCGAACTCACAGAGATCCGCCTGGCTCTGCCTCCCGAGTGCTGGGATTAAAGGCGTGTGCCACCACCGCCCGACCTGCCCCAGGATTTTTACTACACTACTGACACTTTCCAGAATCTTCGGGATCATGCTCTTGTCTTTATTATTATGCTTCATATATGAAAAGCTGATGTCTGTGGGTTGTTTTTCTTCTCCAATTAATGGATTTAAGCGGAGCTATTATGTCATCTGTTGCTGCTCTGAGGCGAGGGACAGAAAACTAGACAGGATTAGGCTGCCGTCGAGGTGAGCACGGAGCAGTGGAGTGGGAAGCTCACCGCAGCCTCCCAAACACACTTGTGGGCAGTGAAATAATCAGTCTCACACAGACCTGGATTAAAAACAAAACAAAACAGAACAGAATCCGTGGCTCCAATTCCCCACCAATTGCAGCTTGATAGAAATGGGTCCTAATGCAGACAGACGTAAAGGGCTCGAGCACGATTGTATTAAATGAATTCAAATCTTATTTCTTAAAGTGACTCTGAACAAAGCAGCAGCAGAAATTGATTAGATCCTGTGACTCACACAATACGGGTCTTCAGGGAATATCTGTAGCACGATTGACATTTTATCTGCCCTGCAGACACCAGACGAAGATTCGTCTGAACTCAGAGTCGTACAGCCTGCAGACCCGGGACTTGAGGATACAAGCCTGAAGCAGCCTTGCCTGTAGGTCTTGCTTAGAGATCCTTAGCGTTCTGGAAAAGCTGGGAGAAAGCCAGCACTTGTTTTAATGTCACTATCTCCAGATTAAGCTCACTTGACATTACTGCTCCCTAAGTCCCTGAGCACACCAGGTCTTTATCCCTAAGCATCACATGGACAAAGCAGGTCTGAAAAGAAAACAGCCAGCTGGGAGTGAGCTTGGTAGGGCTTCTTTCCGTTTGTTCTGTTTGGACCATTTCTTCCTTGTGGCAAGCTTGTAGTTTCCTTAGTATACCTGGGCATCCCCTGTTTCTTATTCATGTGTTTATTTTGGTCTTCCAGTCCCCTGTTTTTACTAAAGTCATAGCCGCTTCCCTTCCAGCTGCACTCACACCGCAAACAAAATAACAGTTGAGAAAACATTTTAATTATTCTCAACCACAACGTGGGCTTTTGAGCAACAACAAACAAGAGAGCCTGAGAGACCCGGAGAGGGAGGCTGGAGGCTGCCCGCATCAATGCCTGGGGAGGTGGCATAGCCATTCCTGCCAGGTCCAGAGGCAGAGCCCAGGCCCTGCTCCCTCCTTCGCCTGGCAGGGACTGGGTGAATTTGCTGAATTCCATCTGATAACTTGTCGCTGGCCAGGCGCCTCAGATAAGAAGTTGCTATGCTAAGCAAATTGCTTTTAGGAAAAGGTAGGTGTGTGTGTGTGTGTGTGTGTGTGTGTGTGTGTGTGTGTGTGTGTGTGTGTGTGTGTGTGTTAGGTGTAGGGGATGGAGGACAGTACTTTTAAAAGGAGGATAAAAACTCAAAGGACATTTTTTTTCTTCAACTGAAAATGTAGTGGGAAGCCCACAGAACTTGGAACTAAGTCCTGGATATGCTAAACACCTGCTTCGTGACACTCTCTGAGTAACATTTCCCTTATGTATAAAGTGTCAAGATCTCCACAAGGCCTCTGGGAGAAATAGAAGAAATCCAATGGAATGATCTTGAGGAGCAGAAAGGAACAGGGGGCCCCCAAAAGAAAGAAGAAGCTAATCAAAGAAGAGGAAAGGTGCCCAGGGGGCGGGGAGTGTAGGGGAGTACGGAGTTAGATGTGCTCCTGAGTAGGTTACCGGGAAAATATTAAAAGTGAAAATCGGTTTCTGGCTCCCTCCATTTTTTTTCACCTTTATACATTTTTTTTAGTATTTACACAGACACGGTAATTTTTGTGTTCACTACGGAGTGAAAGAAAGAAAGCGCAGGAGAGAAATGAAAGGGAGCAGGTAGGGATGCCTGATTCTCTTCAGGTCCTCCCCAGGTCGCCCACAGGACATCCCCCACCACGGGAGAGGTGGCCTGCGAGGACCCGGCGCTCCTCCTGGGTACTGGGCCGTGAAACCGCCAGGGGGAGCTGCATGCCGGGAGGGGCGGAGCTGCTTTAAATCGCAGCGCCGGGCGGTTCTGCATCTCAGAGAACTCTGCCACTTCTCGCTTCCAGACTCCGCAGCCGCCGACCCGGACCAGAAGCCAGGAGCCTCGCCCGCAACCGCGCAGGGAGCAGGGGTCCTAGCCATAACTTGATCGCCCGAGACCCCGCCACCTTCGGGAGCCCAGGTGTGCACCTTGCAAACTCCGCCTTCTGCACCTGCCACCTGAGCCCGCGCGAGCCTGGGACCGAGCCATGGCCAACGCGGGGCTGCAGCTGTTGGGCTTCATCCTGGCCTCGCTGGGATGGATCGGCTCCATCGTCAGCACCGCCTTGCCCCAGTGGAAGATTTACTCCTATGCTGGGGACAACATCGTGACGGCCCAGGCCATCTTCGAGGGGCTGTGGATGTCCTGCGTTTCGCAAAGCACCGGGCAGATCCAGTGCAAAGTCTTCGACTCCTTGCTGAATCTGAGCAGTGAGTGTACCCCCATCCCCCACCCCTCGCAACGACCCCTGTCCCTGGCCTCAGAGTCCCATTTCTCTGTAGTAACTTCATTCACCCCGGAGTTGTCCTGTGATTATATGGGGTTGCCCTCTCTAAGTTGGTCAAGGCTTCTGAGCATGTGCTCTGTCATGAGAAAGCAAAGAGAACCTGAGCCTCAGGTCAAAGCCCTAGATTTGCCACTAAGTCCATGCTTGGCACTTTCTGCCCTTCTGGGTGTGATTTGGCCTCAAATTCCAATCTGGTTGGGTGGAGAATGGGAGAGTGAAGACCACAGTTGGAATTCGGACTCTTGGGGCGCTTCTGCACGTTCTAATGGAGTTTGGGCAAGAAAAATGGTATACTTTGGGCAGGTTTCAAGCCTTCAAAATAGATGATTCGGAAATATCAAGTAAGGACCTTTCTGACTCTGGTGTCAAGGCGTTCCCTAGGCACAGCGAAGGTTCAATCTTTGTGTCTTTTGGCTCTTTCTCCCTGAAGAACCTCTTGTGATCCTCCCCACAAAAGTTGGCTTTCCAGCCTAGGGTCTGAAGAAGAGGCAGCTTGTACAGTCTAAGTGTAGAACGAGAAGGCCGGTGGCATGTGAGGAGGAGGGGGTCACAGAAGAGAATGGTTCTGAATAACCTGGTCAGTATGGAAAGAGAAAGGCACAGAAGGAAGCAGCCTAATGGGTGCCACTGACAGAGGCAGACACAGCTGGGAAGAAGGCTGGGGTGGGGGTGGGGGTAGGAAGGAGAAAGGGTCTTCCCATGTTGTCCCTTCTGCAAAGGGATCTCCATGTAATGGAGGATCTCTCCTCATACATGAAGTTAGAAAGGAGTATGTAGACAGAAATATTTCTACAGGTCCTGGGGAAACAGATAAAATGCCTTCACCTTCACGTTTAGGTAAAATTTTTGAGTGCTTTATCAGAAAGTCATTACATTCCCACCCAGGTAATACCATTGGTGGCTGTGTCCTCCTGCTGGAGAAACCACACTGGCAGTGTTCTGTGGGTCTGTGCTGTCCTTTAACCCACAGGAAGACCTCCCTTAGCCTTTGCCTAAACAAAGCTATCCCACAGTCCTCTGGGAGTGCTGGAGTGAACAGAGCTGGCATTGTCCCAGCAAAGGCACTTCATTTCACAGTTATGGGAACTGCCACCAATCAGCTGGACAGCCTGAGTACCTGTAGAATTTAGTCAGCCAATCTGGTTTTGTCTCCGCATCTGGACACCTATGTCCAAAGTAATCTATAAATTTGCTAAGTGTGTCTTGCTTATTCCCCTCCTGGATACACTCGGGTTGTTAGCAATTGGGAAATATTGAACGTACTGGTGGGAAGGGAAACACATTTAAGGAAATGGTGCCGGGCACTTTCGGAGCTGTACCATGGAACTGGCCGATGAGATGTGTTATGGACAAGTTCAGAGATCTTCCCTGCCCATTTTGTTCTTCTGATCCAAATTCTTCATTTCATCAGGTTGAACTTCCTCCAATGGCCAGGTAGAATAATGGTCCACGCAGCAAATACTCAGATCATCCCTACCCAGAATACTATATGAAATGTTTTATTATAATTTATCCCTTGCTGATATAGTTATTATATTTCTTAAAACTGTGACAAAAGCAGTAAATATCCTTCCGTCACAGGCATTTTCAGAAACTGCCTGTTTGTCGAGTTGTTTTAGCGGAGAACAGCTTCAGACTTCTGTTTTGGTTAAAGCCATAGTTTATTCAAGATGGAGCCCAGCAGCCTCTTTCCCCAAACCAATTCCAAGGAGCGTGAGCCTTGACTCATACCTTCTCTCCCAGCTGAGCAGTGATTCACTAAGGTGCCTTTGGACCAGACCCAGAAAACTTGTCTCTGTTTCTCCACCTGAGCTGTGGGGTTCACGCCCACCTGATGAAGAGATCTGGTTGGTGATTCACTGGCTGGTTTTTGTGTAGTTCCATGACGCCTCGAGATGAAAAGGTTTATTCAGTGCATGTGTGTGTGTGTGTGTGTGTGTGTGTGTGTGTGTGTGTGTGTAGTGTGGCTCGTGAAGGTTACCTCTCATGGGATGCTTTGAGGTGAGAGGCACTACTATAGGTTTCCTAAGATTATACTTTTGAGCTTCACCAGCAAAGCCCTCCTCACCTAAGTATCAAGACAGAGTGTGTCAGCATTTTGTAACCAGACATTCCAGGATGCTTCTTCTGTTGTATCTGGTATCAGTTGTGAAAAACACATGACCTTTACACAATGTGTGTAGGAAGTATAGTATTATTACACCCCCTAGAGAACCACTGTATACAGCAGAAAGAGGCTGTATTGTGGGTAGTTTTGACCAAACAGTTTGTGAAAATGTAACTGATAAATTTCCTGGAGAAGCAATTGTTACACCATGAATTATGGTCTATAACAGCTAAGACCGATTCCATCTCCCTGCACGTGGTATTTCTAGAGTGATGACACTGGTAGCTGAAATTTAGACATACAAAGGAGAGGGCCGGGTGCAGCTCTAGTAGACTTTTCTTTGCCTACTTTACACATCTCTCTTGGTTTTGATTTCATTCCCAACATCGTGGGAAGCCAGTTGCCTGTTTAGCTAATTGCTTCTGCTTGCTTCACTTTAATAGCCAAAGACAGGGCTACCCGGGAGGCTGCATGTTGGGAGGTATCAAAGCAGAGAAGAAGTAAGCATTTTTGTAGGAATGCTGTTGTGAAGATCCAAGCACCAGACAAATGGGAGGTTATGCTAGACTCTCTTTAAGTCTCATCTAGCCCTGAACTTCTGTAATTTGTTTATAAGCTACCCCAGCCTGTTGAACTCGCTCTGCATGAATCCACATGTGTGTAGGTGTGCTTAATGAGTATTGGTTGTCATGAGGTTTCCCAGCACTCTCACCATGATGTCAGGCTCAATCAGAGGACTGAAATCACTGACTTGGATGTCTGTGCAGCACAAGCGGAGAGGACAGGCTTCTCCGGACTCCTCTCTGCTGCTGAATGGTGAACATTCAGAAAAGCCATGGGTGTGCAGAGTGCGACACAAATGAAGCAAGAGCCGAGACTCAGAATGAGAACACATTGAGTTCCTGCCCCAGTTTGCACTGTCCAGGGGGAGCTACTTGATCTCCCCAGACTCAGGTGGATTCAGCACTTGTAAACTAGGGCAGAGTAGGAGGCACAGACGGATGAATCAAAGGTCCACTCATCTAGTCAGCAAACTGGAGCCTGGCCCTATTTTCACTTAGGGGAATGCAGCAAAGACTCTAGCCGGTGTCAGTTTTCTTTGTTACAAACTTCAGTGTTGAAAGAAGAAAAAGTAAGTGACATAGCACAGGTTTCCTAGATCGGAGTGATAATAGTGTCACGGAAAAAGTTATCTGAGGTGGGGAGCGAGTGGGAGAGGGTGGAGGGAGGAGGAAAGGGCGGTGGGAAAATGATGTAATTATATTTTAATAAAAACAAATAGTGCCACGAAAACAGTAATCCAGGACATACATTTAATCATGAGCCATTCTGAAAATGAATATTAGGTTTTAAAAGAGAGAGCAAAACTTCTCAGGATTCGCTGAGTGGTGCCAGGCCCTCATCCTCCAGGACTGCTTGGACCACTGATTTGACTTACGTGCTGACATCACACGTGGTCCACCCGCTCACACACCTGGGAAACAGAAATGCAACAAGAAAGGCGCACGTGAAACTTTGAACACAGGGAAAAATGAAAGCCGTGGTAACTGAAAACTCCACCGCAGTGTACTCTGATAGTCTGTGAAAGAGAAATGGCCTTTTTGCTCAAGTCACACAGCAGGCAGTTACCTTGTCCCTCAAGACTTATTAGGACCGTGTCAGAGCAGAAATACCATTAAAATCTGACTTGCTCATGATACATAAAGCATAGGGTAGGAATGGTAATGGGGTATAGTGCAGAGCATGCACAGTGCCAAGAGTTTATGGGGATTCTTCTGCTTGGAGAGAATGTCTTTAAAGTTTGGGGGGGGGGGAATATCCCCTGCCTGTCTATGCTTGTCTTTGCAAACTTTGATTAAAATAACTGTAGTAGAAGGGTAGTGTCTAACTCATTTCTTGTCTTATAAGTAGAGATCTTTGTAAGTATTTTTTTAATTATACTTTCAGGTTGAGAGTGGTGAGAACTCCTTAGGGGGTCTTTAAGCTGCAGATTTTTCAATCTGGCTGAGTGTAATTAAAAGGCTGCCTTCCTGTTTACTGCTGGATAATGCTCCGAAACAATAGTGTAACTTTTCCAATATTTGCTAGTCAGGTTCTCCACACACAACTTTAGTTAAAATGTTATAGAGCTAGCTACAAATTTAAAGGTCCAAGAAAGAAATGAAAGTGTTCCTAGGCATAGTGCAATAGTATATGGATGTATTTCTGCACCAAATATTATTTTGTAGCATTCACACTTCACTACCAACTTCTATGTTCTGCCTTCCTCGTTCTGCTGAGAGAGAAATGCCATCACAAGAGTTCATTGAATACAGAACTTAAAAACTGTATCAAGTTAAGGGAAAAGTATATTTTTTTCCCCTCTGCATGAATTTCTAGCATTTTGTAGCCTAACTTAAGCCTAGCTTTACATACCAAAATTCCAGCATCTCTGGACCCTCAAAAGAAGTATTTGTCAAATAAATATGATTTTGAAGATTTAGCTTAACATAAGTATGTACTTTATATATCACATTATCACCAGTTTTTAAAAGTAAAGGCATCCTTCTAGTTCAAGGTCACTGAGAACAGATTGAATGATGCACATGATTGGCCGGGAAGTGGGAAGTGTGAGCAGTGCTTTACATGCAGCCCCTCTAGCAGCCCCTCACTCTTACCCAGTTTAGGTCTCTGACTTGAATGACTTCCACAAGACCTTCATTGGAAAGAATTGACTCAGTCCAGCTGAGAACTCTAGCTTAGAATGGATCTCCACACAAAATGGTCACAACCTTAGATAGAACAACCGTTTCTTTGTCTGACTTGTAATCCATCATTATAGGTGCCCAGCTAGTACGTTTTCATGCTGTTACAATTTTCCACCATTGTCTGTGGTGTGCCAGAAAGCTTGTGTTATTTTATACTTCCTGCTCATACATGATGGTTAGGAGCTATCCAATGTCTCCATTTGATGCCAGTCTAATATAAAACAGAAGATAATTTATAATTCTATGGCTTCCAGGTGTAAGTGGAAAATGTTGCTTTGCAAAACAACATTTTTGTTATGTACTGCTTTATCATGTTTTAAAATAAAAATAAGGCACCTTATCTCTATGTTTTTATAGTTACAAAATATATTGTCCATTGGCTCCGTGTCTGTGTGTTGGACACTATAAGAAAGGGAAGCATTGTAACGTTGTTAGCAAGCATGGGATAAGAGTATCTGTCATTTCTCCTTAACTTGGCAAAAGTAGTAAGTATAAAGGAATGGCATGAAGCATAGATGCCTTCTTGATAATTTAAAGATGACAATTGTGTGAATATTTGATATTTGTAATTGTAAGTGGATGCAGATGACATGTCCATAAGCTATACCTGGTGCTCTTTGAATAGAAAACTGGATGTTTCATAAACACCTTAAGTGGAAGTCCTCGGGATTTTCCTCTTCATACCACAGCAGGGGGCTGTGATCCCGAGGAAAGTTTTCTACTGGTCATGCGAACAGCTTCAGTTCCTAGTAATGCCGTGGGTATGGAACATGACTTTGATCCCATCCTTGAGACTGATGCTCAGGAGGCTCCTCCTGAAGGATGTCTTGTGCTTAGTACTCAGCCCTGTGGGGCTGCTGGCCTGTGCTTTGATTTCATGAGTGGATTAGAATGACTATTACATGGACTAAGTCTGAGTGGAAGATGTGTAACAAGCACAACTTCCAGAGAGATCAAAGACACCAATGGAAGTCATTCATAGAGAGTCAATAAACAAATGAATGTGACAAAATGGAGAGGAGGTGCCTGAGACAGAAGAGGCTGTCTACCTCTGTGAAGGGCTACCACAGCATTAGTGCTTTCTAATTATATTGTTTCTTCACTAAGGGTAAAAGTCAGGTCACTGCGCCTTAGGATCCTCCAATAACTTCTCATTATTTGGAATAGACTCTGAACTCATGACCATGGCCTACAAAGCTTTGATGTATGTGTATGATGTGTAATGTATATGTTTGAATACATTTGTATATGTGATATATATATATATATATATTATACATACATACATACATACACACACATGCCATCTGCCAACCTTGGTAAACATCATTGCACCCCACCATTTATCATTTATCTGTAGGCTCACCAGTTGCCCCAGTTTACTCAGGATCCAGGGCCTTCTTAGGATACTGAACTTCTCATTTAAAATATAGAGTATCCTGGGCAAACAGGCACGAGTGGTCACCCTATCCTCCATCACATAGATCCCTTTATTGACTGCAGCATCTTCCCAAAATGCTTTCCTTCTGAGCTGAACACTGAAACCAAATCCAAAATCTGTGTTTTATAAGATCGTAATGATTTAGTTTTTCATTCTTCTAGTAAGTGACGGTTGCCCTTGCAACCACTGCTAATGAATCAGAAGGAAGTGAACACCTTAAGTGGAAGTCCTCGGGACTTTCCTCTTCATACCACAGCAGGGCTGTGATTCCAAGGAAAGTTTTCTACTGGTCATGTGAACAGCTTCAGTTCCTAGTAATGCCGTGGGCATGGAACATGGCTTTGATCCCATAGCTCCTACGTCACCCTGGAACCCTGTAAGAAGTGTGCAAGAGAGGTGTGCATATGTGCTTACTGAACACTTATGAGCAGATGAATTTGACGGAAGAGGCCGAGAGTGTACTGTTTGTTGAGTATTTTGATGAAAGATTAAAAATTGCTTCCAAATATCACCGAAATACTGTGAAAATACATTTGATCCCATTTAGAAAGGGATTAATGTGATTCTGCCATCGATTGCAATAATAAGGATAGAAACTGGTGTTAGTGAAAACTCTGTGGTGTTCCAGAGGTGTTTGTTTTGAGTTAGAATTGGTGACCTAACTGCTCAATCTTGAACATGTGAAGACTAGGCCTGTGTACACATTAAATATTGGGGCTGCCATCATCGTAGTCACCTCTGAAGACCAGCAAGGAGCGAACTATTCTAACTCACTGGGTAGAGATATTGTCCCTCACATTCCATAAAATACAAGCATGGCCCTAAAGAGTATTAGGTAGTTTTTCCAAGATCCTAGTTTGCTGCAGTGTAAGTTTCTCCGTATACAACCTTCCATTTCACTTATTAAGGCTGTAAGACAATGATGTTCAGTTGAAAGAGGAAATAAATCTGTAATTTAAAGGTCTTCTAACCAGTGTACGCCGCCCCCCTATATTGTTATATCATAATGTTGGCTTTCAGCTTTTGTTCTTCAGGAAGCACACTGGCTCAGTCTCTCAAGCCCAATTCTGTCTCTCGTGCTAACACAACAGAACAAAGATAAGAACGGGAACTTTAGAAAATTGGTGGAAACCTGAGAAATACAAGTTGGAGTTATTATCTCTGACATTCTAACATGAGGATTTTGTAATTTTAAAAACTGGTGGTGTAGTTATCTGGGAATCTACTGCTCTGCTCCAAGTTACCTTCTTAAAGATTGCCTTAACACTAATGTTCTAGAAGGCTATATCCTTTCCCACTGAACTTCTCATAACTAGGGATAAAATGTTGCTTATCTAGCCATGATCATCTCTGAAAAAAATCTCATTTATCATCCATAGTCACTTGTTTTTTTTTCTGAAGGTTAAATATAAATATAAAACTAGTGACTAGTAATAAATATGTTTTAAGCCATTTATTTGCAAATGGTGACCGTTAAGGATAATATATATGTTAATTCAGAATCTCAATATTCAGGTAGTAAGGATTACATATTCAATTCAGTGAGACCTATTCAACTGATTCATTAATAATTTTTTTTAAGTTGGCTTTGAGGTGAATAACTGAAGTACTAGCCATCCTCCAGACTGTGCTCATCTTCCTGGCAACAGTTCTGATAGCTAGAGTAGAAGCATCCCTTCTTTCCCTCCCAAAGAACCCTCAAGTACATCTCATCTCCCACTGTTCTTCCACTGCTCTAGGAGGATTTTTACATGTCCTAAATGTTTCCTCTCAGGTACTTTGCAGGCAACCCGTGCCTTGATGGTGATTGGCATCCTGCTGGGGCTGATCGCAATCTTTGTGTCCACCATTGGCATGAAGTGCATGAAGTGCTTGGAAGATGATGAGGTGCAGAAGATGTGGATGGCTGTCATCGGGGGCATTATATTCGTCGTTTCTGGTAAGAGAGGCCCCTCCTCCTCCTTGCCTACTTTTCTCAAGTGTGGTTTGAATCTACTTTTCTAGTGTTTAGTTTTTTTAGTTTATGTTAGATTCATTGTACTTGAAAAGTTTTCTTTTGTGTGTGTGTGTGTGTTTGTTTTTGTTTTTCAAGACAGGGTTTCTCCGTGTAGCTTTGGAGCCTATCCTGAAACACACTCTGTAGAACAGGTTGGCCTCGAACGCACAGAGACCCACCTGCCTGTGCCACCTGAGTACTGGGATTAAAGGCGTGCGCCACCACACTCAGCAGTACTTGGAAAGTTTTAAAGTATCTTACCATTTGTAAAATACTTTACAGATACTTATAGGGCCTTACAGTCAGTTGGCTTTCATGTTCTCAGGAAGAATCAGATGAAAAGTTGACTTGTGGACACTTCTCAGGTACAACCACGAAGGAGTTGGGTGCCCACTTGTTTCATAGCCCCAGACTCTTCAAGTTTAGAAAGATGTCCGACACTTAGCAAAAGAGTCTGGACCAATTTTATGTGATTCAGAATATGCTCTTTGGTAGCTATAGTTGTGGTACATGGTGGTACATGTGATCCTAGCATGAGAGAGATGATTGCAGGGAAATGTGAAGTTCAAGGTCAGCCTCAGCCACATAAGACACACACACACACACACACACACACACACACACACACACACACACACACACACATACACACACACACACACACACCCCACATTAAAAAGGACCTTAGAAAATGTTAATAATGTCATAGAAAAGACTAAGAAAATATGAATAGTATGTTAATGATACTGGATTGGGAAAAATGGGATTGAGACAGTAGAGAAAGATAAAGGTAACATTGTAGATGGGCAGAGCTAATTCCACAAACATGGTGGGCCCATGGATCAGAAAGAATATAGGTCAAGTGGGTTGCAGCAAATGGAATATTGACAAGGCAGGTGGAGGGTTAGCTGAGCTAAGGAAGAAAACAGTACAGAAAAGGATTTGAAAACTGTTGACAAAATAGGTTATGTGTCACACAGAAAACAGGTAACATTTTCTGCTTTATTCAAATGTTGATTGGCATGTCAGGTTATATGTTTGAGGAATAAAGAAATCTGAATGATGGACACCATTTCAGAACTTTCTAAGGATATGTTAAATATGATAGGTATTATATTACAGGTATGCTATTGATTATGTTCATATATAGACTCTATATAATACATAGATTGAGCAACAGGCTACTGCATAGATCCCATGTGTTATATGTATGTAATAATTGATTACACTGGTGATGTAACTACTAAAAATAAGAATTAGATTTTATTTCTTTATTTCTCTCGTTGGCAGAAGACCAGTGGAGGGTGTCGATCCAGCATAGTTTGTGACGTTAGCCAGTAATGGAGGCAGAGTGTGACTTTGCTAAAGATGTGGTTCAAGTGACCAGATGCTCCATTTGTCCAAACACAATTAGCTCCTACCTGAAAAGACATGAACAAATTTTTATTGCTAACAACTTAAAGTTACAATCAAAGACTGTATTGCATCATACCAAACCCATCCCCACAATTCCCACAAATACCACAGACATACACGATTCCAAGTGCAGTCTAGGATGGCCTCAGAAGTTCAGGTGGCCAGTTCAAGAGCATGTGCATAATCAGTTTACCCAGGCACCCAAAATGATCTTATGTACCATCAAATACTATAAAAAGAAGTTACTTGTTTTCTTTTTAAATTAGTTTTGGATTTGACAGTTTTATGTACATTTATTATATGAATCATGGTATGTTGAAGTGTATATATATTCTACAATGAATAAATTAAATTATATGTATGTTTTGCCTCAGATTTTATTTCAGCCACTGTAGCATAGCATTTCTTTTTCTCCTCCTTCTTCTTTTTCTCCTCTTCCTCCTCCTCCTCCTCCTCCCCCTCCTCCCCCATGTCCTCCTCCTCTTCCTGCTGTTTGTTTTTCAAGACAGGGTTTCTCTGTGCAGCCCTGGCTATTCTGGAACTTATTCTATACTCCAAACTGGCTTTAAACTCACATGGAGCCACCTGTCTCTGCCTAATGCACTACCTGGCTACCCTCTAGTATTTTTAAGGACCCTGTAGTCATTATACCATAAAAGAAATATCTCAGCCAGGCGGTGGTGGCGCACGCCTTTAATCCCAGCACTCAGGAGGCAGAGCCAGGCAGATCTCTGTGAGTTCGAGGCCAGCCTGGGCTACAAAGTGAGTTCCAGGAAAGGCGCAAAGAAACCCTTGGTTTTTAGAGACAGAGAAACCCTGTCTCGAAAAACCAAAAAAAAAAAAAGAAATATCTCAAGCTTATTCTTAATTTCTACTTGAAAGTTTGTGTCTTTTGGTGAGTATCTCTTTGGATAAAAATAAATGATGTAATTTAGACATCATATAAACACTGGAATGAGTGACATTGCCCAGCTCATTTCCTTTCATTATTGATTACAAAATATCATGAATAATTGAGTTCACTTATGTAAATCAGTCCAGTGTGTCACCTCCCCAAATGATTCCAGTGTTAGATATTGCCTTAAACCTGGGACAAAAAGAATCTTGATGATCTGGCCCATTCTGAGAGAGGTTCTACTTCCTGTGCTAGTTAGCTCTGATTTTGCTGCTAAACAAAAACCTAAAAATCGAGTTTGAATTTGTCAAGAAGAATGCAGGAGGATTTTCATCTTACCTTTTGTAAGCACTTCTCTGCTAATATGAACAAACATTTTTTTTAAAAAGTAGTTTCATATGCTAAACTACAGTACTGCAGAACTTTTGGCAGAGGTTTTGAATAAGATGGACCAGGTGAGTTGTTCCCCAAGAACACTATTAGTGCCAGTGGCCTTGGACTATAAATAAATAAGACATCATAAATAGCATAATCTAGGCCCAACTTCAATCTAATTTCTTTGTAATTCTTTGCAGAACAGTTGGAATAAATCATATCTAAGTCAAATTGATTTCCATAGTAATAAAATAAAATGTCAGCACTCTTGATGAGATTCAATTCTGATAGAATACAATTAGGTTTAATAGTCTGTGTTTTGGTGCTCAATGTCCCACAGTGATTAATGACTTTGCTTTGAATTTCTGTAGGTCTGGCGACTTTAGTGGCCACAGCATGGTATGGAAATAGAATTGTTCAAGAATTCTATGACCCCATGACCCCCGTCAATGCCAGGTAATGCTAGTCATGCATAAAATAGTTCATTCTCTGAAAATCAACCCTTTTTGTGTTTGGCAGACTCCTGTCAGTGCCTTAGTTTCTCAGAGTTGTTTTCAAGAATTATATGGAAATCTATGTTGAACTTGCAAACAATTTAAATGACCCCTGACTCATGTTAGAATGAATTTGATAATTGCTTTAACAGCCAGTACTGATGACAAAATGCACTTCAAAGGAGAAATGTTCTAAGCTGGATTCTAGCCAACAACATATCACATCTTTTTTCTTCCCCGAATATGAACAAAAATGCTAATGTATTGGACATGCTTTTCTTGAAATGTATTATGATGTTTCCAATACCTATGATCACTTGTAACTAACATACATGTTCATGATTTATTGAAAAAAAAATATAAAACCACCGTAGTGGTTAACAAATAATGCTTCATTCCCAAGAGTATCCACATGAAACTATGATGTATTTTTCTAGTACATTCAGATGCCACTTTAAAATTGTGTGTTCCATTACTACTATAAAATTGACTTTACAAAGGTTACCTTTCTTAATAGTTCAAGTTTTGCAGGTTCAGGACTTGAGTCTTGGCTCTCAGGTAACAATGCTCTTTGATCAAGGACAAGGCTTATTGTCTCACTGTCTTCCCATCTGTAAAGCTTAATAACCATATTCAAAGCTAGAATGTTAAGATGTAATTACTGTTTGTGAATGCTAGCGTGAGCGAATGAAAAATTCCAGTGTTTGCAGAGATAAATGTGCATCTTTTTATCCAGTCGCCCACATACAGAAGAACATAGGCTTCGGCCGTTGTTGGAGCCTAGCCCATCCTGTAAGATTTATGATGTAGGGACAGAAACTGCTGGAGGTCAATGGGCCGCATTTTCAGCAGAGCAATAATATTAGGAGTGCACGAGAAAGCATTTTATAAATTGCCGGGCTCTGTACGCTCGTTATTGTGTGATGGCACATTACCCTGAACACCCTCCAGGGAAGCAAGTGAGACAATCTGCTTTGAGGGAAGAAACAATGGGTGAGAGGTAGAATTGCTGGTCCAGAGCTGCAGCGACTGAGCATCGCATCAGGACTCAAGCCCTGTGACTTCCTCAGCCAGCCCTTTTCTCTGTGTGATACCCATAGTCAGCCACAGGTTCCTCATTCCAGGAATGTGGATTAATGTGTCCACCTGGCCTTTTTCAATCCGAAATCAGCCATGCGATATTCAGATGTCTTTCTTTCAAAGTACAAGCTTTATATTTTATTTTAACTAGGTTCTCTGATCACTAATCATTTTTTGTTACAGAAATGTTTACCATTTGAGGGTAGTAGACTTTGTAAGGAATAACCTAGGACTGTGGCCCAGTCCTCACTTCTCAAGTGTCTAAACATCCTTTCCAAGCCTTCTTTTCTTGGAAAGGTCTTTGGAAATATTTGTGTAATTAAACTGGTGTATTGCATGTCATATTGCTGATGTACTCTTGCAAATTATTGATAATTACAATGTCAACATTATTTCATGGATGTGCGCACAAACGGCAGCTCCTGGGAGATCATCGGGTTATTTTTAATTATAAATATATATAAAATATATATTGCTATAATATATATATATATAAATATATTGCTATTGATTTTCTCCTTTTGCCAATGGTCCTCATAGCAGCACATTGCTGTCTTTTCTTTCAGGTATGAATTTGGCCAGGCCCTCTTCACTGGCTGGGCTGCTGCCTCCCTCTGCCTCCTGGGAGGTGCCCTACTTTCTTGCTCCTGTCCCCGGAAAACAACCTCTTACCCAACACCAAGGCCTTATCCCAAGCCGACACCTTCTAGTGGGAAAGACTACGTGTGACAGAGGCAAAGGGAAGAAATCCTGCTGGAGCAAATACAAAGTGGACGTTGAAACTAGTATTGACATTAAGGCCTTAAACTGTTGACTCTGGTGATCTGAGCTGTAGTATAACAAAAGGAAGCATATTTTTGTACATCCCTGTGGTTATGAGGGGCTTGGCTGTGCCTTACCATCTTTCCTGAGTACAGGAAGGAAGCCTTTTGCATTTGAACTGCTGCTTCCTACTGAGAAGTCCTACTCAAACTGGGGAAGGGTGCTCCTTAAACGTGTATAAATATGTATATATACATATTTTCTATTAAAACATAGACAGTTAAAAACCTCTTATTCTCCTCATGTTGGTACCAACATACTTAAAATGACTAAAATACAGACAATTCCATATTGACTAAGTAAGCCTAGTGATCTATTTTTCTTTCTTTCTGTGAACATGTGGTCAATGAAATATCACCCCCTCATCAGCAGTTAGCATCCTTGCCCTAAGACCAAACTTCCTTATCAAGTCTGACTTCATTCCCTTTCCCATGTGTACTCTTCACAACAACATATTTAAATTTTTTTTTCTCTGACAACAACTGCTTTTTCAGCCTGGTACTTTGAGGTTTGTTTCTAACTCCTGAATCTAATCACGAATTTCCCAGCCCACATTTGAAGCTTAAAACAAGTCCGAATCACTTAGCACATCCATTTCTGAGCTGTGGGAGCAAATCTTCTGGATAGCTGATGTTTTTCTGCTGACCTTCCCTCATGGTCCTTGCCCTTTGGTCTGTAGCCGTCTTGTTTGCTTTGAAAATATTTGTTTCACTGAGTGGCTGTCCTGCTAACCCTGTTGTTGAAACAGTTTTATTGATTGCATTTTTCACGTACTTATTCACCATTCCATATCCTGCCAACTACGTTTTTCTTCTTCGCTCCTCGGCTATCTTGATTTCTCACATATAATTATCATATGTTTTAGCTCTTCTCTGGGAGGTGTGGTCTGTTTATCTGCACGAAGTGCTAGACTTGCAGGAGCGATAATATAGTGACAAATATTCTCTCTGTAGCTGTGAGCAATTTACAGTCTTTATACCTCTTTTCCCATCTGTCAAATTGGGATAATTACACTTAACCAGCTGGTAGAGGTAATGTGAGCATTAATTAGTTGATATGACTCTCATTCTTTGAACATGAAATATGCCTAAGTAGTGTTTTTCCTTGCTCAATTAGCAGTTTTGAAGTCACTGAATAAAATCTCCACACACGCCTTCACACTGTTCCGTATCTTTCTTTTTTCATGAGACTATTTCATCTCCTTCAGCTGTGCCTGGCCTCTTGTTGGTGCTGTTTCATTTTGACAAGTGCTCTTACTATTCTAATCTGTAGGAAAGGCCCTTCAGCAGAGCAAGATGATGTAGTAGAAAGTGTTGACATTGACATTTTGAGACCTGGATTTGAATCTTGGTGCTATCACTTAATGACTGACTCGGGCAAAGGCACTTGGTTGCCCTAAATGTATTGCTACATCTACATAAGTTCTTTAATTCCTGCCCTGACTATGTCACAGGATTCGAGAGGGGACACATGCAAACATGGTTTTATGAGGTGAAACATGTTGCTCTATAGTCATCAAGGAATTTAAGTTAATAGGTTTTGTGGTTATTTTTTAAACAACTGGAAAGAGAGAGTTGTTAATTGGGTCTCTTTCCTTAAGAAGTCTCACAATGAGCTACTAAAGCTCACTAAGTTAAACTGATCTTGTTTTTAAAGTTTTTGTTGAGACAGTGTCTCAATCTGTGGCTCAAGCTGGCCAAGAACTTTTGTGTCATCCAGAGATTCTTGTGCATCAGCTTCCCAGCTGTTGAGATGATATGCATGATTCCCCTGCTCCCCACGACATTACATCTTAATTTCATCAGTCTGTAACTAAGTAAATGTAATGAAGGAAATTGACAGTGTGGACACTAAAGGAGTATGAATTGCTCTTTGTGAAGTGATACTTTCAAAGTTGGATAGAAGCCAGCAGTTCTAGAAGAGATTGAGAACATTTAGTGGTAAAACCACATGGAGAAAGTTATACAAAGGATGGAGTCATGTGGACTTGAACTATGTATGTTTTACTGTATTTCTGTGTGTAAAAGTAATCATACAAAGATCTTTTGCCACAATTCTGGTAATGTAAATGCATACAAATAACGCTCACCAAACTACACAGAGTTCTATATTCCAAAATAATCCCAAAGAAGTTTGATGTCAGAACTTACCCAGATCTGATATTTTCAAACCTGGAAACAGACCAATCGATATTTGGGGGCTCTGATGGGAATTTGTATAAAGCATTACTCTTTTTCAATAAATTGTTGTTTTTTAGTGAAAAATAAAAGCTTCATGGCTTTTTTTTTAAATGGATTTTGTTACTTTTTTTTTATTTTTATTTTGCAATACAATTCAGTTCTACATATCAGCCACGGATTCCCTTGTTCTCCCCCCTCCCGCCCCCCTCACCTTCCCCCCAGCCCACCCCCCATTCCCACCTCCTCCAGGGCAAAGCCTCCCCCTCCCCCGCGCGGACTAAGATCAACCTGGTAGACTCAGTCCAGGTAGGTCCAGTCCCCTCCTCCCAGGCCAAGCCAAGCGATCCTGCATAGGCCCCAGGTTTCAAACAGCCAACTCATGCAATAAGCACAGGACCCGGTCCCACTACCTGGATGCCTCCCAAACAGATCAAGCCAATCAACTGTCTCATCCATTCAGAGGGCCTGATCCAGTTGGTGACCCCTCAGACATTGGTTCATAGTTCATGTGTTTCCATTCGTTTGGCTACTTGTCCCTGTGCTTTATCTCAAAAAAAAAAAAAAAAAAAAACCACATGATCATGGCTTTTTTTTCTAATTGTGTATTCCAAAACTGGTAGTGTGCACAAGAATGGGATGCATGAGATAGGACCTTACTCACTATGTGTTTTCGAAAAAGAGTCATGGTCCCAGGGGAGTTGGGGATCCCTCTTTGGGTAGTCTCTGTCTCGTTATTAAAATCATTCAGAAACAGACTTCAAAGGAAGCTCAAGAACATTTTGTTTGCTTGCTTGCTTGCTTGCTTATTTATTTGAGAGAAAAACAATTAACCAGACAAGGTACAAATCTTGACAGGTGTCAGGAAGAGGAAGATAGAAAGTGTGAAAGCCAAGTCTTTAAAGGAAAGCAGACAGGATCAGTCAATGATGGAGGTCAACAAGCAGCCACATGGCAGATAAGCAGCCTCATTGCAGAAGAGGATGGGGGCTTCAGGTTAAGAGTGGCACATCCCAGGGTGTCCCAGGATGACTTAGAAAAGTGGTCAGGCCACTTTGGTGCTGTGTGATGTGGGCTCTGCAAAATACTGCACAAGGGAGGGGTTTCTGAGAGGGCTAAGTACATGAGTTCATTGAAGGGATAATTATTCCTCCCATCTCCATTGCATGCCTTTCGGTGAATCATCTTTCCTGAGGGGTGGTCTCTTGATGAGGTGACTGCTAAGCCCAGCTAAATTAACTCTTAAGAGAGGAGACAATAGTATATAATGTTCTAATCTTTGGAGCAGATCAGAATGACATGTCTCCACCCAGGGCCAGAGATAGATTCTAGTCTTTTGACCAGAAAGAAAAAGCTTTTCTTGAATGAGCCTCAACACAGCCATGATACCCATTCTTAACAGCCCCCAAGATGACTATAACTTTCCCTGATCAAGAATCAAGACCCTAAAAACATTTAGGTTAGGAGTGGGTTAAAATTCACTTCCAAGGCTGTTCACCAGGAGGAACTAGTGTCTGACCTGTAGTTTCAGTCACACCCTCACATGTAGCCTCCAGGAAAAGGAGCTCATTTAGAAGAGAGATAGCAAGAACCCAGGTCAGAAACCACAGCTACGTTCTGACATCTCTGACCTCCAGCACAGACAGGCTAGAGATCATTTCCACCTCCTGACCAAGGAGAAGAATCAAACTCCTGCTTGCAGTATCTCTGCCCTAAACTACTGCGGCTGTTTCTATCTCATGTCCTCATCAATATTCACCTTGGCCTGTCTTTCAAACATCTGTGTTGCTCCACTCACAAGGGTATGTATCTCTCCCAAATGGGGGTCCTCTCTAGGATGAAGACATAGTTACCAGGAGATGTCACCATTCAGACATCTCCCAGCGCCCTGACCTCATTTTACGTAGAGTCTTCTTTAAGAGAAAATCCTTCCTTCTTCTCTCTCTTTCTTCCTTCCTCTCACCACAAGGTAGTGTGCACCTCCTCCCTTCCTTTCTTCCCTTTCTCTTTCTCTGTTTCCCCTTCTCCTCTCCTCAGACCCTGCCCATTTTCTCTTTCTTCCCACCTTCCTTCCCCCTTAATAAAACTTTTCACATGGGTGCCATGTCTGTATGGTGTGAGTGATTTTCCACCATGCCCCCTTGGCTACCACCTGCCATGTCTGCATGGCCTGTCTCTCTCTCACCTGCTGTGGGGCACCTTGGTTCCACCCACCAAGGCCTCTTTCCCACCATTTTACAAAACGAGATGGTACTTAATTCCTTCCTTTCATCCGTAGAAGGACATGCACCAATGGATGAAGAGTAAAAGACAGGGTCTGGAAATCTATTTATTTGTTTGTTTTTGTTTGTTTATTTATTTATAGTTTTTTAAATTTTTTCATTAATTTTACATATTGACCACAGTTTCCCCTCAGTCCTTTCCTCCTGGTTCCCTCTCCCTATGACCTCCCTTCTATGACCCCTCCCCATGGACTTCTTCTCAGTCTCCATTCAGAAAGGGGCAGGCCTCCCATGAGAGTCAATAAAACATGGCCCATCAAGTTGAGGCAGGACCAAGCTCCTCCTCCTGCATCAAGGTTGAGTGAGACAACCCAGCATGGGGAATGGGCTCCCAAAAGCCAGCTCAAGAGCCAGGGACAGATCCTGATGGGAGCCCCACAAACAGACCAAGGTATGCATAAAAAGTGCCTCTTAGAAATGCAAGTGGTGAAATCATTCCCTTGTTATCTTAAAGTATCAGTGGCTGAGAGCAGCTTCGTGGCCTCTCCCCAGGTAATTTTCATATAAATGAGACCAGGAGTGTGAGCAGAAGTTTCAGCTCTACTGGGCAGTCTCCTGGTCCATGACGGGGAAGGGATGAAAACCATTGCCTGTCAGTTTGAATTCCCCTTCAGTTGAACAGATGCAGCAGCATCAATGCCTTGCTTGCACAACATTTAAATTCCAAAGGCGAGGTCCAGGGCAATGAAGTTTGAAGAAATACAATATGAAGAACATGAGGGAAAACTGGGTTGAAATCTTCCCATGCAGACTCTCACTGCCATGGGCTCGTCCATGTCTGGGGGCCCCTTTGGCTTGTACAACTAATTCTTTTCCTCCCTTAATTTATCACTTCTGCATACTCCCACAGCCTGCAGGAAATCCCCATGTTGTTTGGCCTGGCGTTAGTATCCTATTATGACCTCATTATGGAGTTTCCCCCTTTTCTATTTGCATGTGAAGTATTTCTGCTTTCCCATCCTTCTCAACCCTGTTTAAACCTGGCCATTCTAAAATGTCATTCTTTAGAAACTGAAAGAAAGCACTCCGGGGCTCGTTTTGAGATCAAACCTCCACAAACATCAAGGCATTCTATATACCAGACTTCCACTGACAGTTTTCCAAGGTAGCCAATATTCGAAATTGGAAACTAGATATAGATTCATTAAATTGACATTACTGAATACCAGTTCCATTAAATACAGACAGCCCAAAAAAGTGTGTTAAATAAATTAGACATAGTCTTGAACCTGGGTAGTGTGAAAGATGCCTAGTGACACATAAACTTCACATGTAGCTCTAATTCTACTCCAGACAGCTGTTGAGATTGAAAGTTCCCCATGCCTTGCTCCGTAGGCTCCCATAGTGGCTCTTCTCAGTAAAAGCAATTTAGAGTTACCTGAGAACTTTAGAAATGTTCTAATCGTTCTAATCCTAGGAGTGTGCCTCAAACAGTAGTCCTGAAGCTCTGAGAAAAGAGTCCCGTTTGAGCTCCACTGGCGATTCCTAAATACTAGCTGCCATGGTGACACACAGATTGCTGAGTATCTATAGGCCAATCTAGCCCAGGATTGTGAGGAAACACACATGTCGGGACTTCGTATTTTGCACTGTTACCTTTCTTTCCTTCTTTCGCGAAGGTCACCTTTCACTTTCTGATGTTGGGCTTTGCTTGTGTTTGATGTAGGAGATTAAAGGATTAATAGGCCAACAGAAACATTTGCTCTGTTTCTTTGTACACAGACTCCTTTCTTGACTTTCTCCATTATTTTTAATTTATGCCCACAGTCACTCATACAAAGCAAATACTGTATTGAAGATCAGCTTTCTATTTAGCAGCCATGTATACTCAAGAATAAATGACTACATAAGAAATGGACCCTGAGTTATTTTTATTTGATGAGCTTTTTCTTTTTTCAAGAAAGTCCTTACACCTTAGCCTTGTTTCATTTTTTATAAAGTGACTAGCATTTCTACTGTTTTGGGTTTGGTTTTTTTTTTTTTGGTTTTTGTTTTGCTGTTTTTGGTTGTTTGTTTTGTTTATTTATCTGGTTTTTGGTTTTTCAAGACAGGGTTTCTCTGTGTAGTCCTGGCTCTCCTGGCATTTCTACTTTTTGATTTCCATATTCCTTCATTTCTGTCAATTATTGCCTTGATCTCCCCACTCAAAAGAAAAAAGAAAAACATATATCTCTCTCTCTTTCTCTCTCCTCTCTCTCCTCTCTCTCTCTCTCTCTCTCTCTCTCTCTCTCTCTCTCTCTCTCTCTCTCACACACACACACACACACACACACACACACACACACACACACACTGATAGAAGTTAAAGTTTGAAAACTAATCTATCCTTTCTTACATGACCTGACTTACACCAAGTGATACAAGGAGGTGGGATATCTTTGAGTTCAGTGGTGTCCTTTCCTCTGGCCTCATGTGGGCTTTAATTCAGGAGTTACGGTGCCAGAGGCTCACAGTCACACACTTCCAATGAGTTGAATGGTTCAAGGTTTGCATCTCTGAATTCAAAGAATTAAATATTCCAACCATGGAGGGTAAGTTCCAGAAAGAATTGCAGATTCGTGGGTGGGAGCTTAAGCGGGGGTGAAGGGCAGAACTCCTGTGTACAGGAGCAGTTCCCTGGAAATGGGGTGCTGCTGAGCTGGTAATCTGGGGCAGAAACTAGGGTCAGGCATAGGCAAGAGGTCTTTCCAGTTGGACTACCCATGAGATTTGCAGTTAGGTCATCACGTCCTTACTCATAGTCTCCAGACCAGTGCGCTCACTTAGGAAAAGAGATAGCAAGGAACCAG